GATACATTGTGTTGCGAATCCCCCGAAACTAAACCCAACCGTTTCTTCAGATCCAACAAAATCTTCACCTCTTTATCGATCACTGGTTTAGTTTCCTTCTGGGCCTTCAGGTCTCGAACTTTATTCCCCTGTTTTGTCACCAATTCGTTCAGTTGATCAACAGTGAGAACTTGACCCTCAAATGGGTCGGCGCTGTTCGCACCGTTCGCCTCAACAGTCTCTTGCTTTCCCTTAAATCTCTGTTTCAAAGCCTCGATTTCCTTTGATTCCAATTTCTTGAACAGAGGCTCAGCCTTCAAACACAACACATATTTCACGTCAATATTTATTAAAAACAAAATCACTTTTCATTGCAAACCTTTCCGATCTTGTGTCCGGATTTCAGTATACAATGAAATCGATTATCTTTCGGTAATAAATTCATTTTAATATTCAATTGGCTTTGAATGACAGCACTTGTGTTCGGCATATAAGGCATGAGGAGCACTGATAAGAGCGCCGACACATTGGCAGCCAGTCCCAAAATAGTTGCCGCGCGAGCCCTGCGTTCAATGGCAACAAAATGAGTTTTCTTTACAAATTCACAACAATTAAATCAACACTACCTGTCCTCCGGTCCCTTTTTAACGAGTTCCCAGGGTTTGGTCGCCTGAATGTATTGATTTCCAATTCTACTAATATTCAGTATATGCCGAATACCGTCCCTCAGTTTGAGTTTGTCCATCAATTCCGAGTAGTGGACTAACTCTCTGTTAATGCGAGCCAATAGTGTTTTGTCTGACGCCTGGAATGCCATTTCGGGAACCGTTGCCTCGAAGTTGTTGGTAATGAAGACGAGCGCTCTATTGATGAAATTTCCCAAATTATTCAAGAGTTCAGAATTGTTTTTGTTCATCAAATCAGTCCAACTGAATGTCGTGTCCTGTGATTCGGGTCTAATGTACAGCAAATAGAAGCGCCAGATGTCGGCCGGAATGCCCGTGTCTTTAGCGTTGTCGCCGAACACACCGACGCCTCTACTCTTCGAGAACTTCGAGTCCTCGTAGTTGAGGTACTCGACCGCAGATATGTGGCTAACCATTGTCCACTTGTCGTGAGTCCCAAACTCACACGCCGGGAATATAATGCCGTGAAAGGGAACGTTGTCTTTGCCCATAAACTGGTAGAGCGTCACGTCGTCGGGATTGTTCCACCACTCCTCCCAGTGCTTGTTATGGTGGGCAGTGATGGACGGGTAGCCAATGGGCGCGTCGTACCAGACATAGAATACTTTGTCCTTAAAGCCATCCAACGGAACGGGTGTTCCCCACTTCAGATCCCTTGTAATACAGCGTGGCTTAAGACCATCCCTGAGCCACGAGTTGATAATCACTTTAGCAGTTTGTGACCAATGGTTGTCCTTGAGTTGAGTCGTCGCCTTAAACCACTCCTCGATCTTCGGTTGAAGTTTCGGTAAATCGAGGAACAAATGGTTCGATGACTTGATCTGCGGTGTTGTGGCACACCGTTTGCATTTGGGATCCTTGAGTTCGGTGGCATTGATGAGTTTACCACATTTGTCGCACTGATCGCCACGAGCCTCGCAGTAGTCACAGAAGGGACAGTTGCCTTCAACGAACCGGTCGGCCAGAAAGCGCTCGCATTTCGGACAAAACAGTTGTTGCGTTTCCTCTGACAAGAGGTAAGAGTGTTCGTGAAGTCTCCAGAATATCTTCTGAGCGATTAGTGTCTGCTCTTCAGTGGTGGTGCGCCCGAAGTAGTCGTACGCAATGCCAAACCAATCGTAGATCTCTTTATGAATCTTATAATACTTATCGCAGATCTCTTTAGGAGTCACCCCTTCCTCGAGAGCCTTGTTTTCGGTGGCCGTTCCGTATTCATCGGTTCCGAACAGGAATAACGTGTTAATGCCTTTGAGACGACAGTATCGCGCGAAGACATCGGCACTGAGTGTGGATCCGATGATGTTTCCCAGATGTGGCACATTATTCACATACGGCAGAGCACTGGTGATCAACACGTTATGGCCACCACTTATCACACGCCTGTCCGCCACATCCTCTCTCACTATGTCTTCACTGATAGACCACTGACTGAAAGCTGCTTCCAATTCCTCCGAAGCGATGTCCAAATCGGTGATTAAGTTCTCGTTTTCCATACTTTACGGTAGACTTGATATCGGATTCACTCCTCACGAGTTGGCAAATGATGTCAAATATGGCGTAAAATACTATAAATTACGACAAAATATAAGCAATAGTTTTGTATAGAAATGAATGCATTGTTTGGTGAATGAGTTGAACATAACTCATGGTTCGCACCCAAAGTTACGCCGGCTTTGCATCACTTAATTGCAGTCAAGAGTTAACCACATTTAGTATCAATCAGTCGTTTCAATCACTTTCTTATCATATAATCTAAATCCCATGCAAACGAGTGATCACTTGTGGCCATTAATCATCTCATATCATGTGGGCATCTCAGCGATCACTTGGCAGCAGATCCCTAGCGGTGACAAAGAGAAGCATTGAATGCATTGATTAGTGTTTTGTTGTTTAATACATATTTACCGTTGAATTGGATTTGAATTCAAATTAAATCATCACTTGTTTGACCAAAAGACCATTAAATTGAGATCAAGTCTTCTGTGAAATGATTGCCATTTGATGGTTCACTTGTAACTGATCCAAGAGTTGTATTGAGTGAACAAATGCCAAAACAAAGCGCAATGTCTTCGCAAAACCATAAAGACATCAAATATCCATCCGGTTGTCGGGATATCAATGAAGAGCTGCCCACCGATGACCTCATCAGGAGGTATGATATCTGCACGACATGTCACTTGCAGACAAACTCACGGCTCTTATCTTAGATTCAATGATCACTTTGTGATTGCAATCAATATTGCCATTAATTGGCGCTCAAATGACTCACTAATTGATCACTTGTTTGTTAATTTAGATTTAAATATCAGTTTCATTGATATGACATTTAGCTTAACCTTAAATTGATTGACAATCATATGATTAGACATCAGTTTTATCTCAATTTGTTTGACATTTCATCAAATGATTGACATTTAGTGCCATTTAGTGATGAACTCCAATGAGTACTCATTTGTATGATATGTTAGCGTAATATTGAGATTATAATTAGTAAATAGACTAATATTTAAAACATTTAATTATTTATTTTGTTAATTTGAAGTTCTTTAAGAAGTTATAAAACTTTTAAATTGCAAATAAAACTTTAAAATAATGATTGAACCCGGTCTATTTGAGTTACAAATGGTTACATAATTTTCATTTAATCCTTGATTTGATCCATACATTGAAAACATTAACGCAATGAATATCTAATTGCTATTAAATTAGACTCAAAGACATAGCGATGGCATTCCAGCAGATGTCTCAGGAGGAAGACAACAGTGGATTTGTTCCGTTGGCTCTCTATTTATGTAAGCATTTAGTGATAATTAAGTTGTTATCAAATGAAAGAGTGACACAATGGTTGTCATGAACAGCGAGTGACTACTTTCTGGAGCACCCGTCCCGTGACGTGCGACTTCTGGTCGCCTGTGCTATCGCTGATGTGTTTCGCGTGTATGCGCCCAACGCTCCCTATCAGCACCCGGAGCTCATCAAACATATATTCCTCTTCTTCATCCAACAGTTGAAAGTCAGTTATTTGACGCTATTTTACCAATAATTGGTTTAATTTGTGTTTTATTTGCGAAGGGATTGCAAGACCCAAAAGACGCCACTTTTAAGCGCTATTTCTATTTGTTGGAGGTATTGACAGCCATTTGATTTGTATTGAAATAACAGTAAATCTAATGCCTGTATGTGTTTCACAGAACCTGGCGTGGGTTAAGTCATTCAACATTTGCATAGAACTCGAGGACTCGCAGAGCATTTTCGCCCAATTGTTTTCATTGATTTTTAAGGTTTGCTTTCATAAACATTTGAAATCCTAATGAATTGTTTGCCAGAACTCTGGTAATAATAATGAATATGCAATGAATAGATCGTGAATGAGAACCATAGCGACAAAGTGAAGAACTTTATGCTGGATATGTTGACGCCTCTGATCATAGAGGCGGATACGGTGTCTTCAAAGCTGATTGAGATTATACTGTTGCACATCATCGACCCCAAGAAGACAATGAACAAACAGGCCAATTGGCTGGCCGTTCAGATACTCAAGAAGACCAGCAAAACTATGGAACCATATCTCGTCTCATACTTCACGAACGCTATAACTCATGGCATCGATGATAACGCCGGCGATCTCGACAACGACGACGAGACCAGTGCTGTCGTCCATCAGAAGCCAACGGCTAAGGGTTCGCGTAATTCCAAGTCTACGGTCTCCTCATCAGTCACTCGCATATGTGAACTCATATATGAACTCAACCACATCTGTCCCAACATTATGGACGGTTAGTATTGCATACAACGTATAGATTGCTTAAAATGCTATAATTATTGATGGTTTTATTGTCAGGAATTTTGCCTCAATTGGAGTTTAAGGTGAAGAGCATTGACGAGAAGGAGCGCTGCGATTACACCAAACTATTGGCGCGTCTTTTCTCCGACAAAGACTCGACTTTGGCTGAACTCTATCCCGAACTCTGGAAATCATTTCTCGGGAGGTTTCGTGACATTAGTGTAACCGTAAGAATGCGTTGCGTTCAGTATTCAATGCATTTTCTGGTCAATCACTCAGAACTTCGCGATGATATCAGAGACCAATTGAGGTATAATTTAATCACTTGTCTGTTGAATTGGATTTTATTTTAGAGCTAATTATTTGATATAAAGACAAAGACAACACGATTCCGACGAGAATGTCAGATACGAAGTGGTTATGGCTATCATCAGCGCTGCGAAGAAAAGCATTGAGAATATCAACGAAGATCTGCTGAGTTTTGTTAAGGTATGACTCCATTCATTGTTACCTTTGTTCTCATTTTACTGGTGATGGAAATATCTATTGTTATGATGACTAACTCGTAATTATTATAATTATTCTATAATTAAATGATTTGACACTTCCATGGCTCTGAACTCTGTCCTAAAATAATTATATGATTTGCAATTAACGGTATATTTTACGCGATTATTAATACAATTATTGTATTAAAAGGAGCGAACTTTAGACAAGAAGTTTAAGATCAGACGCGAAGCACTTCTAGGAATGGCTCAACTCTACAAACTCTATAACGTCTCCACAATTGGAGAGTCGGGCGAATCTTTGGACACGTCTAATGTGTCGGAGAGCGCCAACTCATCACTCAAAATGCTTAATTGGATTAAAAACAAATGTCTTCACAATTATATCAATTATCAGACACAACTCGATGACCGGTTTGTTTTTGTTTATCAATGTTTTATTGCTGGTAATATGAAACTAACCTGGTTAATAATGATGATTGAATGGTTAGACTGTTGGTCGAGCGTATTCTGCACACGTGTCTCATTCCATATTCCCTACCATTGCCTCAGCGAATGAAAAGTCTTTACACCTTTTACTGTACCATCGATTCACACGCGGCCCGAGCTTTCAATGAACTGCTTCGTCAGCAACAGATCGTCCGAAGACAAGTCAAGGAAGTTCTCGATCTCCTCAGGTTTGCGACCATACTTTCTATACTTTGCTATGTCTTTGTTCATTGGTTTTATTAAATTGAATCAGAGATGAGAAGTCTGATGAAAGGGATCTACTGATTAAGCAGAAGGTCCAGATCTGTGCTAAGAATCTGCCCGAACCTGTCAAGGCTGACGAATACATCACCAAATTATGCCGAAATCTAGGTTTGAATTTAATAGCATATGATATCTACACGGCATAGCATACAGTATTTGATGATATTTTCTCTTATTTTAATAGAAATAAATCCGGCCTTAAGAGAGCACATGGAACTCATAGTGACATCGACTTCGTTCCCTCAGGTGGGAGAAGACGGACTGCCTTTACTTCCGCCCCCGAGCTCTACAATAGAGGCGAGTGTTCGCGAAGTGTTGAAGTCTCTCGGATTTCCCGTTCAGACGAATTCGTTTTATATGATTATAAAACAATTGATGGAGAGAATCGCTCCCATTATGGTCGATCATCAGGGTATGTTTGTTATTGAAATTGTCTTTTATAATACGGTACTAATTATTATTACCGTAAATGAAATTTGTGTTTTAATTCAATGGGTTTTGTGTATTTGTCAGGACTTCTCATTTTATTCAATTATGTTTCGGATTCTCTTCTGGGAGACGGAGAACTGGATCTTGAAATGAATGTCGAAAACTCTGCTAAAAGAGGACTTCAACTCATTTACGTACGAAAATTATTGTGCTTTAAATCTTCTCTTATTAATGAGTGAATAATTGGGTTTTTAGAGTCTTTCGTCTGTATTTCCGGCACTTTTTCACGGAAGAGAAATCTTTACGTCATATTTGTTGCCATTCTTATGGCAAAGTGGAGATCACCATCAGGTCTCAGAACTAATTCTGCAAATATTGACAAATATTGGCGCTTCCGCTGGTTCTGATGGCAGTGCTTTGGATGGCTCTCAGTGTGTGTCCATCCCGTGGTGGGCCGCCGATGATGTCATTCCTCGACTCGTTGATCGATTTGTGTTGAAAGGTTAGCTCGAAGTTGTGCCTAAAATCACTATAATTTGTTTAATTCTGTGAAAATAGCGTCGACAACAAAACAGGCGAAGTATGCCATTCAATGCTTGAATTCTATTATCGGCGATGAAAATGAGAAAATGAAGATTTTTGGCGAAATCATTGATCAAATAAAAGTAATTTTATTTTGTTTATTATGTTATTCTACGAAAAATTGATTAATTGTTGTGTTGAAGGCAAGCGGTTTATCTCTGGAGACATCGCCGTACTTTCGCAGCCATTTGGTTACACTGGGAATGATAGCCATATGTGGCGGAAACCAGTTCTTCCCGAAAGTTCTTCGCTCTATAATTCAGAAATTCATTGTTCAGGGATTACTCATGAAAGACATGAAAACTGATGTCGAGATTAATTCGTTGGAAGAGAGTGAGAGACAGCGAGGTTTGTGTGTTTGAATGGTTGTTGTATGTTTAGAGTTTAAAAACTGTTGTTTCAGAAAATACTGATCCGGCCATTACTTACGAGTACTGCAGTGAAGAAATGAAGGCAAAGATTGAAGCGATTAAACTAATGGTTCGGTGGCTGTATGGCATGAAAATCAACACATTATACGGTTAATTGTTTATCAATATTTAATATTAATTTTAATACAGTACTGTAAGCAATATATTAATGATATATTTATTCTGCAAACAGTTATGCCTGACGTTCAACACGAAGTGATCAGTAAGTGATTGAATGCTCTAATTATTTAAAGACAAAGTGTGGACTCAAATGATATGTATTTTTAGCTCAATATCAGAAGACGGCTTCCAATACACTGAAACTGTTGAAGACAATCATCCAAACAGGCGGTGATTTAAATGAACAGAATTTGGGCGGAACTACTCTAGAAAGGGCTCACTTGCGACTGGCGGCCGCACTCGCCATCCTTAAGATTGCTTCTAACGATGCCATCACTTCTGTCAACAATAATGGCGACAACTCTGTCGTTCAGAACCCGTCGATTACTTTAGCGATAATGTCTGCGGAACAGTGGCACTCATTGGCTACTGTTCTGTTGGACACCGAAGAGTTTGTTCGCGAAAAGTTTTTGATAAAACTTCACAAAGGGTTGATGTCTTTGGCTCTGGGACTCGAGTTCTTAGCCATTCTCTCTTTGGGCGGCACTTTCAATGGCGAAGAGACCGCTCCATTCAAGACGAAGTTGAGGTCAGTTCCCATTTCTGTTGAATGTATTGTTCTGTAATTTATAAGTTAACTAACAATTACGGTATGATTTGTTGTGATTTAGATCTTATTTGCATTTAAATTTGGCCAAAAGACGAGAACTGATTAAATCAAAGTCTGTGGCGAACATGAAGAGCGTAATGCCTGACTGTGTGATGCCTTATGTCATCCATTTGTTGGCTTATATGCCGTTTTATGTGAAGTACGACGACGTCTCCCAACTGGAAGTAGTGAAAGGTTTGCAAATAAACATGACATACAATATGGTGAATGGAATACTCATTTAAATCTAATGTTTAAACAGAGTGTCTGTGGTTCATAATGGAACCGCTTGTGCTTAAGAACGAACACTACTCGTTCTCATTCTTCAAGAAGACATTTGAGAACATAAAGGTTTGCGTCGATCGCATCTCTCAATCTCAAGAGTCGGATCCAAACCAAGCGAACGCTAATTCAATGGCAACGATGACTAACTATAAGATATATTGCGGCTGTGACTTAGCGCTCGGACTCGTTATGAGTAAAACACAGAACTTTCTTCTCAAAGACTTTCCGGTTCAGCCCACCCTTCCCTCCAAATATTTCACTGGTAATCAATCACTCGTTTCACTCAATACTTTGTCATTGATTTGCTAATAAAGAGTGTGACTGTGTTTGTAGTATCGCCGTCGGCCGCAGACAACAACTTGAAGTGCTATTTGCCGACCGAAATGCAATTCGCGCCGCCGAAGAGGTGTGGCCTCGAAGCAGAAATTCTCGGCAAAATCACTAAATCTTTCCCTCAGGTCTTACTTTTAATGATATTATTTATTATAAATGTTTTATTAACCCTTCATATCCTTCATATCGTCACTGTTTAGTCGCCATCAATACCTCCTCCACAAAGAGGTCGTCCCTCTAAAGCTTCTCAACAACAGATGCAACAAATGAAACAACAAATAGTTGTCATCACCGGAGAGAATGTGATCGAAGAGGGAGTGATTATAGAACAGGAGGGGGAGAACACCCAAAGCAATGCAATGCAAAGGTCTCGTAAGCAACAAATAGAGACCATTAATACTGAAGACGACACAAATGGCACCGAAAAGATAGAACCAATGGTTAAACGCGGCCGACAGGAGACGGCCCCTCCCGCCACCACAGGCTCTGCCGGTCGCACGACTCGTGCCTCAGCTAAGGACCGGACGAGTGAGTCAACCGATAAAACATCGGAAACCAATGCTGAAGATAAACACAAGGATGAGGACGAGGAGGAAGAGGTTGACGACGAAGAGGACGAAGAGATGGACACAAACGACGATAAGGAGGCTCTGGTGTCGCAAAAGCGAACTCGAGGCAGACCTCCGAAAAATATCGTGACTTCCACTCCCACTCCCTCTGCGACTCCTGAAGACGACTCGTCGCCAATAAGGAAATCCTCCAGAATTGCAAAGAAGTAATTGTCTCTGAGTTTTGAATAAATTATAATTTGTTTAAACATTTAATTCGTCATTTAAGGGTCCCTTCGCAGAGGTCTCCATCCCCTGAAGTGAGTGCACCCGTGGCTCGCGGTAGAGGACGAGGCAGAGGTCGCGGCAAACGATAAAAATTGATATGAAGTCAAATGTTTTTTACTTCAAATGAATCAATCATTTATTCATTTTATTATTTAAATACAATTTAATCATTTCCTCATTTAAAGACTATTATAATTCACAGTCCGATACAACGCTGAAAACGATTTGGAAATATTTTTAACGCTTTTTAAACTATTAAAATCATACAATTATTTTGATTGTATCTTTAAAAATTGGTCCCATTTTGAATACACATTAAATCGTATTAATATTTATAATGAAAATTTTGTTTTTAAATTTTTCAACAATAACTTTTATCTACTTTTTGAAACTCAATCATCAAAATTTGATGTTTTCGTAACATTTATATCATATGTTAACTGTATTTCATAACATTTATATCATATGTTTAACTGTAATGTTGTTATAAGTCGATTGCATTCCTTTGGGATTTGTTTACAGATATTTAAAGTGATCATTAGTTATCTTAATGTCATTTCACAGCACTCGCTATTATTGAGAGACTATTATTTGATCTTTATATGCATAATTCAATTGAAATATTTATTTTTAGTTTATTTATTTAATCTCTAAATGTATATCATATCTAATGACAAAAGTTTTAAACTTTTTTTGGTGAACATCTGCACATTTAATGATCCAATGCTTACAGTGCCAGCAATACTATTAATATACAGTACCTAGACTATATTCTCGATTGTAATATGAATTACAGTATTTGTGCAAATATTTATAGAAAGGATTCATAACCAAGGCCCATCCCATACAATTGTGTTGACATAAGTTGCACAATAATCGCTGATATGATAATGATATGATGATTATGAATATTATACTGTAGGTGCAATCTATCTGGATTAAACAAGTCAAGTTAATGTATTGAAAGTTTGAATTTCAAACATTTGGCGCTTCACTGTAACTCATATCTAGCCCGTGATTGGCGGCAATACTACACCCATTGTGTGACGTGTAGTGTAGTAGTGATGGCTTGTGTTGACTCTCTCACGTCTGTAGTGCTGTAATAGTGTTCAAGTGATGCAGTCATACAGTGGTATAGCATTGAGAATAGCATTGAGAGTAGCATTGAGTCAATGAATGATTGTTAACAACAGTAAGCAGTGAAGCACTGAAACACTCGTCACTCAGTCTGTGCTCTCTCTCCGCGATTCTGACTCTCGCAGTGAATGTGTGTCCACTTCTCACTACTTCTACTACTCATGAGTGAGTCATGAAAGCATGAAAACATGGCAACGAAGTGCTCATCCCTTCATCTGATCCATCGGTGACCAGTCATCACCATTGAGTCCATTCAGTGATCATTGCTATGTCTATGTATATGTCTCAGTGTATGTGTTGTGTCTCATATAAGCCTCAGTAATGGTCCATCACTTGCACCAGTTGTTGATTGTATGCCTGTTTACATGCATTCACATACAACACACCAATGGTTTGTTTCACTTTTGATTCACTTTTCATTTGTTTGTTTCATTATAACATGTATTTAAGGGGCCAAGCATTGAATGTGTAATCAATTAAGTGGTCTATTAGTTAGCAATTAATGGCAAACATTTGGTTTTCATTGATGGTGTGAAACAATAGTGCCATTGATTGTCATAACAAACGGTACAACCATTTGTCGGTTTATTATTAATCGATACCTTTTCACTCTGTTTATCCAATACTTGTCATACATTTAATTATGTTTGCATTTGTGTCACACGTGTTATTGATATTGTGGTCAGTGGTCAGCAAATATCAATCATGATGTGGCACATTATAGGCTACTATACAGTACTGTCGGCTTAATTGCAAACTTATATTGACATACAGTTAGCAATACATATGTACAGAAATACAGTACTTTTTCTGGGAATTGCAATACAATTACAAACAAGTTATAAAAAAATATAATTTATATAACTTTAAGCGTTATATAGTTGTGGAGTATTTAGTGATTGTGATATTAAGGTGTGATAATTACTCTCCCATTATATTTATCTATGTTTTCAAAGATTAACTTTTAAAGTGTTGACAAAATGAACAAATTTCTAATTAAAATGTTTTATACTTTAAACACTTCTCGATAATTATTATTAATTCTATTGATTAAGAAATTGTTGTATTTTTTATTTTAACTTATTTCACAAATGAGTTGACATGTTTTTGTAAATGAAAGTTAAGTGGTTATAGTGTAGTTGAAATAGTGTACATTTGGTTAATAATAAGCAAATAGTTTTAGGAGTTTGTGTACACTATAACGAGAATGTACTCTATATATGGCTATAATAGCTGTGCCGTGAATAGCAATGTATTGTCAATTGACTATAACTTAAGAGGTTTTGTTAAGCTTTACTTTACAAGTCATACAAATAGTGTATTACCAGTAGAAGTGTAGTGTATATTAAGTTTAAGAGCAATTGGCAAATGGTATGGTATGGTAGGGTATGGTATGGAATGGTATGACAGAGAGCTGTGAGGAGTTCATCATTTTGTGTTTCATAGAAATAACACAACCAACACAACGGGCGGTCCTCTCAAACATTTCAAGTGAACGAAAAGAAAGAGAAGAGAAGAGAAGAGAGAGAGAGAGAGAGCTGTGCCTAACAAGTGAGAGGCTGTTAAAGCGTTTGCAGAGATGACTGGCGCTGACCTCCGGCCAAATACCTAGACTTTTGAGAAGTTTAGCGCTGCTTATACTGTGATGGCATTCATAGCCATAAGGCCTAACAGTACGCCAATCACTGCCCATCGCTACCACACTATATAACCAGTTCTTCCACTTTTGTTCATCTCTTCACTACTTTCACAACTATTCACTCGATTTTATCGTATAATTAGATGTTTTTAATTATTAAAACGATAACTAAAACCTATTTCTCTATTCTATCTGTAAATACATGTTTCACTCAATTCACACGTAATTCTCTATAAAAAATAGAGATAAGAATAAACATGTGATTAGAAATTCATTCAATGCTTTGCCACACAATTACAGATAAATACTGCACAAAGTGTTTGAATAATATTTACCAAACATTTAAACAAAAAAAACGAAACCCAATAGTGATTGGAATTTAAGGCAAAGGTTTCTTTGATTAATGGAAAAGAAAAATAAATGAAATTGAGTTTGAAATTTATTTCAATTATATATTTATTATAGAAATGTTTGGTTGGAATTGATTGTATAAATGAAAAACTAAAATATGGCTAGAATTTAAGCACAACCATTAGAAACGTATAGGCGCTTAGTTTATAGCCTCCGGTTTTACCCCCGACCATTTATTATAGAAATGTTTGGTTGGAATTGATTGTATAAATGAAAAACTAAAATATGGCTAGAATTTAAGCACAACCATTAGAAACGTATAGGCGCTTAGTTTATAGCCTCCGGTTTTACCCCCGACCCCTAACACATTAATTATCCGCTCACTTGACATATTGTTTGCAACTATTTTAAGACCAGTTCTTCATTGGGATTAATACCGCAATCACTTTATAAGACATTTCTTGAAATTTAGTTTTTAAAGGGAATTATTTTTTGAAGTAAATAACAAAATTTCGATTCATTTGTATTTGTCAGGCAATCAATTGGATTCAAATGCGGGATCCGATGAGTTAGTGATCACAACCTTTACAGACATCCCCAATGAAACGCCACAAAACGTGACGCTTGAATCTGCCGGCGCTACCAGTGTTATAGTCCGATGGGAACCGCCGGCCCGAGAGCTCGTGAGCCCTATAACCGGATATAAGATTAGATATAAAATTAAGGGCAATAAGAAAGTGGAGAGCGTCACCACCGGTGGGGACAGACGGCTATACGAATTAACCAATTTAGAAAAGGGTGTCACAT